ATTTTACATAGAAGTTGGTTCAAGTGTAACAACATCAACATATTTCAAATACTCCATTAAAATTATATTTTGATCACAAAGTGTAAAGTGATCATATTGAGATATAAAAAGTCGTGTGATTTTTATTCAAGTGTAAAAGAAAGTGATGTGTTTTCTTGTTTATGTTAGAAGAGTGTATGAGTGACCTTAGTGTGAGGTTTGTACAAATTATAACATAGTGGAAATCTCTCACAGGGTGTGAGGGGACTTGACTACCCTTTAAAGGAAAGGGGAGCTAGTATACATCTTCGTGTTCTTTAATTTTTTGCACTTATTGTTCAACACCTTTCCATTCATAATTTTTCCAGAAAATTAAGAACTCTTGCTATCACTCATAAAACGAGAAATTTTTAAAAATACCAACTAATCTAGTTCACCCCTCTTAGATTACATTCCATACTTACATTTATTGTTCTAGAGAATAGTAATTTAAAAAAAAAGGCTTGGATATGCTGGTGAGTGTTGGGAGGGCTCTGAGATACAACTCACACATGATTATATTACATATCCAGATGATAACATAGAGCCTTCATACGTGAAACATCCATTTGTACACTTGATCAATCATTTGATTTTTCTCGGTAAGAATTTTACTATCGATAAACTTAATCTTAAAGTGTTTAGATCTTTAACCAGGGAAGGGCAACCAAAAGTGATGGTAATATCCGAAAAGAAGAGTATATCCATTATGACTTCTGCAATGTTGTTCGGGAAACTTCAAAAACATGAGATTGAACTTGGAATATTAGAAAAGCATGTGACTCAAAAGAAGAAATCCAAAAGTATTGCTTTAAAAGTTGATTCAAAACAAGTAGAAGAAAAAGATACTACAGAAGAAGATGAAAACTTCATGCTTCTTGTAAAATGGTTGGGAATTGTTTTTGGAAATAATAATTCGAACTTTGTAAATAGAAAGAAGAAATAAACCTTTACATCAAACCAAAACTTCACTTGCTTTGAATGTGGAAACTAAGGCCACACATAAAGGTGGATTGCCCAAAACTTGCAAAAAAATAGTCATAAAGGAAGAAAGTAAACCAATACAATTACTAGTTTTCAAAGTAAACCATATTTAATATACATGATCCATTATTTTAAGGTTAAATACACTCATCTTCCCTAACGTCTTATAAAATAACATAGACATCCTCCTTAGTATTAGAATTTGCATTAAACTCTTTTGAAGTATATTAAAATGGTACTAACACCTCCTCTAAATTTAAGTAACAGTTAAAACCGTAAATATAGATGATATTTGCTTATAATTTTTTGGCTATCACTATACAAATTTATTGGTAAATCTAAACTTATGGGAAGTTATTGCTTATTTTAAAACTAGAGCAGATATCAATATCATTTTAACAAATTTTAAGAGAGGTGAATTTTGTTAGTGCACAAGGTGATGAAAAAAAATAATGAGAGACTATTTATTACTCTGCAATGACGACTACAAAAGCTATAAGAAAGATGATGAAAAAATGAGAGCTGTCACTAGTCTATTTATACACAAATACTAGGGTCACATATGCAACATACTAAAATACTAAATTACCATTCAATACCATCCCTTAATTTAGGATTTCCTAATTAAAACTAACTACACCAATTCCATCCCTTAAGTGGAGAAATTGATCCTCTTGATCACCTTTGTCAGAACATCTGTCAACTGCTTCTGGGTGCTACAGTGCACGACTTCTAGCACTACATTCTGGACTTGACTTCTCGGAAAATAGTACTTTGTCTCAATATGCTTGCTTCTCCCGTGCAGAATTGGGTTCTTGGCAAGATTGATTGCAAACTTGTTATCAGTCATCAGCTTCAGAGGCTTGCTTACTTTGATCTTTAGATCCTGTAGCAAACTCAGAAGCCATACAGCTTGACATGCATCTACAGTACCTGCAATGTACTCAGCTTCACACGTTGATAGTGCAACAACATGTTGCTTCTTGGAACACTAAGAAATAGGACCTCCCAGAAACTTAAACAAGTATCCAGAAGTATTTCTCATGTCAACTCTATCTTCACACCAATTAGAGTTTGAGTAACTCATCAACTATGAATTAGTCTTTCTTCCAGAAGGGAATAATGCTCCATTATTCATAGTTCCCTTCATATACCTCAGAATCCTGACAGCAGCTTCATAATGGGACCACTTAGGTTTACTCATGAACCTACTAACCATTCCAACTGCATAGCATATATCAGGTATGGTATTACACAGATACCTCAGAGAACCAACCAAATGTTTGAAGGTTGTAGCATCCACATCCTCACCTTCAGAATTAGAATCCAATTTATGAATGGTTTTTGAAGGTGTGACAGTAGCCTTACAATTCTGCAGCTTAAATCTCTCCAGAAGCTCAAGTTCATACTTCAACTGAGGCAAAATAATACCCTTCTCAGATTACATAAACTCCATCCCTAGAAAATACGTCATTTTCTCAAGGTCATTCATTTCAAACTTAATCGTCAACACATTTTTGAACTTGGCTATCTCTTGCTCAAAACTCCATGTCAGCAATATGTCATCAATATACAGACACAGTAGAATCATATTGCCTTTAGAGGTATGCTGAACATAAACATTGTACTCCATCTCACATTTCTGAAACCCCTGCTCCTTGAAAAATGAATCAACCTTCAGATTCCAAGCTCTGGACGTTTGCTTCAATCCGTACAAAGCTTTATGTAATCAATACATCATCCCTTCCTGATTCCTTTTAACAAATCCAAGAGGTTATGACATGTGTACCTCTTCTGGTAATGGATCATTCATAAATCCAGATTTCACATCTAAATGCATCAGATGCCAATTCCTATTAGCAGCTATTGCAATCATCAATATGATTGTTTCATGTCTCGTTATAGGTGCAAACACTTCAGAATAATTCAGCCCAGGTTTCTGTGGAAATCTTCTTGCTACTAACCTTGCTTTGAGTTTGCCAATTGATCCATCTGGCTTTAGCTTCACCTTGAAAATCCACCTGACACTGATGGTTTTCTTGTCCTTTGGAAGCTTAGCCAAGTTCCAAGTCTTGTTTCTTTCAATAGCCTCAAGTTCTTATGTCATTGCTTTTAGCCAAACTTTCTTTTTGAAGGGGTCTTCTATACTTACTGGTTCAGAGCCTACTACCATGACACACTGAATAACGTCTCCCTCAGAGTCTATTTAAGTATCTCGTAGCATGTCATACTCTGAAAATCTTCTCGGGATGTTTCTGACTCTCTGTGGCCTCTGACCTCGTTCAGAATCTTCTTCAGATGCTGGAACCTCAAAAGTACTATCTTAAGAAGCTTCTTCTTCAAAAGCTCTTGCTTCAGAAGGTTGGCCTCCTCCAGAACCTTGACCACCTTTAGAGTCTGGAATATTCCTAGAATCTGAATCACCACCAGAATCTAAATCAGAATCATCTTCACTTTCTGAGTCTCCTTCAGAGTCAGAATCACCATCAGAGTCAAACTTGCCTTCAGAGTCTTCTTCAGCTTCAGAATCTTCTCTAGCTTCTGACTCATCTTCAGAAACTTCTAATTCTGACTTTTCTTCAGAAGTTCTCAGGCCAGAGTTGGATTGAGACTCATTCTAACCCCAAGCTTCTAATTCCTTTACATTGACGTCTCTACTGAATTCAACTTTATTAGTTTATGGAAAATAAAGCATGTGCGCACCTGTACTGTGGTACCCCACTAGTAACATCAATTTGCTTCTATCATCCAACTTTTGTCTTCTGGCTTCTGGAACATGTTTGTAACATACAAAACCTAACACCTTCAGATGGCTAACATTTTGCTTATCTCCAGTCCACTTCTGAATAGGAACTATTTCCTTCAGCTTCTTCGTTGGACATTTGTTGAGTACATATGATGCGGTGGCAACAGATTCTCCCCATAAGGTGTGAGGAAGCTTCTTCTCCTTCAGCATGCTTCTCGTCATATCAAATAAAATATGATTTCTTCTCTCAGCAAGACCATTGTGTTGAGGAGTATAAGAAACAGTAATCTCATGCTCAATTCCATTCTCCTCACATAATTTTCTGAACTTAATGGAGTTATACTCACCTCCACCATCGGTTCTGAGAAACTTTAGAGTCTGACCACTCTAACTCTCAAACTTCATTATGAATTTCTTGAATTTAGAAAACACATCGTGTTTGAAATTTATATGGGATACCCATGTCATCCTTGTGAATTCATCAACAAATGGAATAAGAGAATATTTATTGCTCTGCAATGACGGCTACGAAAGGAAAAAGAGAATATTGTTAGTGCACAAGATGATGAAGACAAAAGGAATAAGAGAATATTTATTGCTCTGCAATGACGGCTACGAAAGTTGTAAGAAAGATAATGAAAAAATAAAAACTACCACTAAGCTATTTATACACAAATACTAAGACCACATATACAATATACTATAATACTAAATTACCCATATGTATACCTTTTGGATGGTCCATTTCAACTACTCAAGTCTTCCTTCATAGTATTATTTTATACATGAGAACTAAGATTTGGAGTTTTATTAGTATTTTGAATTATGTAGTTACCTACATGCCATTTCATATTGTTAATTTAACACATGTTGATAATTATTTTCTAGTGACTGCTACATACAATAAAGTTTATCTTTTTGGATCTTTATGACTTAAGTCCAGAACTTTCTGAAGTCAAATTACAATAAATTGTTCATCCTTGATTATAAAGTAACACGTATAAAATCATTACTATATATTTTATTCAAGGTGATGAGATATAATGTGAACATGATCATGTAGAATTATTTAACTCATGGTTAAATTAAACTGTAATATAAAAAATAAAAAAAAAAACTAAAAATAAAAATAATTGATTAACAACCAGCATTATTAAATCAATATTAAACAAAGCTTATGCTCTTTAAATATCACTTTCTTTCTTATTCACAATGCAGCAAATTTTCAAACTCAGTAGCTATCTCATCAATCATGTTTCGTCAATTGGGAAACTTTACTAAAACAAGAACAGTTCAAGTTCAGAATTCCATGTTAAGCATAATTAGATCCTCCTTCAAGTAACTAATCACCTCTTCTTTTTACTTTTATGTCAACTTATACGCTTGAATCTCATCTAATTTCCTCGAAATTTTTTTTCTTTTCTATATATTTTTTTTATTAAAAGATAACTTATTTTAAACTATATTGAACATATATAGCTATGGTTCCATAAATTGCATGAAATTATAACTTAAAAATTGAAGTTTCAGATTTTAAACTCTAGAAAAAATAACTACTAAACGAATTGTTGTATGTTTGGAAGTAGAACAGCTCGTGGTGGATCAAGAAGGTCAGATCTCAGCAAAGGGGGTGGTGGACAAATTAATAACATTAATGGAATAAAGGAGGAGAAGAAGGGTTTGACAAACAACTCCAAAAATTCAGTTTCAGAATGATGATAATGGATTGAAGCCAAACCTATAGTACAATACATGCAGTGGAGATAACAAAATAGCTAGTATTAGTATGGGAGTTTTGATGTTTGCAAATTTTAATTAATGTTAATGATTTGAATGATTGTCGTGGTTGGTGATTATAGACGAGTTGATTAATAATGAGATGATTATATCTATACCAGTATGATTAAGTCAGAAATTGTTGAAAATAATGCAAAAACATGTCAATGATTCAATTCAATAAAATTATGATTCGACTCATTCTCACTAGACAAATACAATTTTTTGCCACTATGAACTAATTCACATGAAAAATAAATTGATTTACAGGAAAAAAAAAATCCATAGCTCATATGATCCTGATTAATAATCATTCAATTCTAAAATGCCTAGATCCGATTCATATGAATTGATTCATGGTTTTGTTTGACTAATGTAAATAGAACTATTTTCAACTTAGTAGATTTGAGTCATACATCAATCATTATTTGATTCATTTGAAGCTATTCATAATAGGATTCATGAATATAGATCATTGATCATATTTTCAAATACGATCAATTAATACTCTTTGAAACTATAGTAACGAAGAGAAAAAAAATGGTCTCAACTCCCTCATGAAACATCTTGTGACATAGAAGAGTTATTGTTTTGGACAACTTGTTCATTGGAAATAGGAAGATTTACGCTAACGTCCCTAGGTTTGAGAGGTTCCACTTGCAGGGTTAGAAGGTTATCTTTGGGGCTAGGAAGGGGAGAAGTTCAACAGTCATGGTAATCATGCTCAGAGTTTGTTTGGAGGGTCGGTAATTTTGTGGGACATAGATCATTCGCGAACGTGGTGAGTAAGAGAGACGATATGTTTATGCTAATGCTGAAAATAGGGACGCAACAGTTGAGTGCTTCACTTCTGAGGAAGATTTGATGAGATTCAAACAAGCTTTTGTGGGATTGGTTGTTACTCTAGGTTCTTCTTACAACATTCAGACGCGTTTTAAAATAGAAGGTTATTTCCAATCAAAGTAACTCCCTTAGGAGCTAACATATGCTTGCTTGAAGAGTTGGAAGAAGGTGAAATTATTGATTTTATCAGAAAAACGAAAACCATGGAGGAGTCAGTGGTTTACATAGATAAGGTAACCTGTTTAAGTTGTTTCGGAGTACTTTGTCATGCATGGAATACTCAATTTTTCATGTTCTTAGCTAAGATGGTGGGCTCCTTTGTTTGTACCAATGAGAACACTATGAAACTGAAATGTACGGATGTAGCCAGAACATTAGTAAGAACAAGATGCGTGGTTGTTCTTAATAAGAATCTCAAGATAAAGATTAACGGGGAGTCCTTGCTGATTAAGTTGACGGAAGACTCACATGCACCTCTTAGGATTTCTATACGTGAAGCAGTGAACACATAGGTTTCTTCGGATGGTAGCTCCAATGATAGTGGTCTGTGATGAGAGGAGGAGGACGAGAATATTTTTGAATGATCGCCAGAGTCTGACCAAGAGCTTAGGGAAGATGGGATTTATGTTGCAGCAAATATCAAGGAAGGGGAGATCCTTATGACTGATGGTTATTTGATAGCTTCCAAGGAGGTTATTCCCAAGGTATGTCGTAAAATTCAGCGCAGGCGTGACACGTGTAGCAACTGCGAAAAAACACCCGGCAGAAAAACAGAAGAGTCGCCACCAAACGTTATTTATCCCAACGATAGGGAAAGGAAACGATAGAAGAAAACCTGAAGAACGAGAAAAGACAAGGTCATCGCAACCAAATCTTAGATTTGGGAGTCAGTTACGCAAGGAGAAGGTATTAGCACCCCTCACGTTCGTTGTACTCAACGAGATCCACATTTGTTGTCTAATCAAAGGGTGTGTTTATCTATAAGCTAATGCTAAACGGAAACAAGAACAAAAGAAAAAGAAAGAGACTCGATAGTGCATTGCTGCCCTATGCCTCAGTATTCCCTCATGCAATGGAAAAGTCAGAGTCAACGTAGTTCGGAAAACTACGAGGGATGGGGGGAGGTTGTTTGCCAAGATATCATCGTCTTGTGCCTACGTATCCTCGTCTAGTATGAGAAATCAGAGCAAACGTAGTCTGGGTAACGAAATCGCAGGTTGGTTAAGTGTTTTTATGAGTGACGTTATGTTCTCATTCCAGCAGTTAGGGTCGATGCCTGTTTGCGGTAGAACAGAAAAGTAACGTATTCTTTTCTGAAAATGAGTTTGAAACACAAATATCGAATGATAAAAGGTTTGAATTTTGTTTGTGAGTTTTAGTGAAGTGAATTAGTTTGTTTGAAATTCACGTTGCACTAAAGACTATGATATTGGAACGAATGTGTCACATATCGCCCCCAGATGGGACGTACACCAAACACTCTAGATAAGCGAGAGGACACCCTTCACTCATCATTTCCCATATGCTTAAGGCTCGTAGCGCACAAAGTTCATTGTGTTTATTAGATGAGTTAGAATGTGTTTTGAGATGAGAAGAGAGACGCACGAGAGGTCTAAGGGAAACTCGGCCCTAACGTTGTCATGAAAAGTGGTCCTAAGGTCGGGATGCGAACGAAGATTCTATCATAATGTTAGCATGAAAAAGATGGACCTAAGACTGAGGTTAACAGGGACTATCCTACTTGTTATCATGCATGGATTAAACTCCTAATGTCTATCTTATTCCAAATTTAACCGGAAATTAAATTGGAATAAGAATCCTAAGGGAGCATGCAAAAAGCAAAGAAACAAGGCTAAAACAGCAGCTACAACAGCGCTTCCTGCACAAAATAGCAACAAAATCCAGCACGCAAGCAAGATGTAACACCCCAAATTTAATTGGAATATTTTAATTTTTATTTAATTGAGAATATTCGTATTTTGGTGTTTTCGGTGATTTTGTGAATTATTGAGAATTATGCAATTTGTGAGTTATTTATTTAATTGATAGTATATAATATTAATTTATTAATATTATTATGAATTAAAATAAATAATAGTGAAAGAATGGTAATTTGGACTTTAAGAGGAGTTAGTGAGGGCATTATGGGAAAAGCCCAATTGTGAGACCCAAGACTAGGTTTAACAAAAAGGGAATTCTGAAGGGTTTTAGGATTCATTTTTGTAAACCGTGAAGAGAATTGAGGCCAGAGAACTCTGAAGAGGAAATTGAAGGCAGAAGCGTTGAAAGATTCCCTGACGGATTTGTGAAGGCTTTGAATCGACGTTAAGGTATAGGGAGTATAGTTTTTCATGATTTTCCATGTGTAACTTTCGATGTGATTATGGTTGATTTAAGGGTTTTATGGAGAATTATGAGAAGAAGGGATTTTTGGCCTTCGTGGCCTAAATCTAGTTTTGGGAACTCTAATGTTTTGGTGTAGTGGTAAGTATTCCTGACAGTTAGAGCATAGATATGAGAAGGGAAACATTAGGCCTTCGTGGCCAAAACCATTACTTGAACCTGTCTGACCCTGAAGGAATAGGAATATTTGAATGTGAGTAACTCTAATGCCTTAGGGTGTAATTGAAGGAAAAATTGTGATTTAAGGCATGAATATGTTTTGGGATTGGCCTAATAAACCGTAGGTTTTGTGCCATCCAAGTCAGGCCTACAAGGGTCTACCTCCAGAAACTTCTCTTCAAAAAATATCCTAACTTCTTTCTTCACCTCCCCCACCAACTCAACAATCCCAAGTTTGACGAAGTGTAAAAGTGAGCAATATTTCTAAATATATGTGAAGATTTTGGATTCCAATTGAAAGCAAGAACAATAATATTTTTAGTTCGTTAATTCAACAACATCCACATCAACAAGATGTGTTTTGGTATTCTGGTTTTCTGATGGGTTTCGATGTTTAGGGTTTTCTTGATCCGAGTTTAATGAAAAAGATATTAAAAACTTAGTAAACCTCTTAGTGATTGATTTTCCGTTACTAAATCACTCATAAAATTTGAAAGGTAAGGACTAATGTGATACTTTTTAATAAGTTAAGAGACCAAAATGGTCCATTTTAAATTTATGAGACCAAAATGAACTCTGAGTACACGATAAGGGAAAAAAGATATTAAACATAAAATTAAATACATGTATGTTCAACATATTTCAACTAATTAACATTAATTATAAATAGGTTAAGGAAAAACTGATCGAGAGTAGGATTTATATTAGTTCAGCCTCAATTGTCCTCACATGGAGTCTAATTCAGCCTTGGTAGAGAACTCATCAAAAAAATTTCAATAGTACTACAAATATAGTATCAAATTCTTATCTATATAACTCCTTAAACCAATATTTTATGACATATTCCCTCGGTTAAGCTGGTAACCAAGGGGTAAAGTTTGATCAAGTCCATTTTGAATTCCAGCAACTGCGTTTTAGCTTATTTGATTTGATTTTTTTATGACATATTGCCTCAGTTAAGTTGCAAAACCTAGGGGAAACAATTTTTTATTTATAAGTTACTAATCGTTGGTGCCCATTTATAAAGTAACAACAAACAAGACATTGTCAACTCATTAATCCACATGAAACATCATTGATTCTTGTAAAATCCACACCAACCAATTAGAACATAAATAACCACTATAACGGAAAATACATATCATAATAGTTGGGAAAGGGATACCACCACGCTGGTCCAATCGTTGTGAGGTAAGGTGTGATTGTATGTATGATGATTTTTACCACGGTTGTGAAATCGTGATTGTATCCATGTAGCACGCTATCTACCATAATGGTTACTTTAAACAACCATTGTGATATTATTAAATGCAACATATTTAATCATGGTTGTTCTAAACAACTATTGTGATACATAGACCTGAGTTATTATAAATTATGTGAAATGCTTATTTCATCAATGCTCACTAAACATATAACCTTTCAATCTGCATAAGAACATTATAATATGACAAATTAAGTTATATTAGAAGAATAAATTCACGTTCAATGCTAGACAAGAGTTCTTCAAGTCCTTATATGTATATTGTTCTTTG